ATCAATATGTTGTATACCTGAAACTAATGTAACACTGTATGTTAATTATACCTCAATAAAATTAAGTTACATCAAAAGTTTTGTAAATAAAATACAGTTAAGATAGAAACTGATTTCCAAGGCAAAATTATTATAATTTGGGGTAGCAAAAAAAGAGGTGATGTGTTTCTCAGGGATCTAATATCGAGTAATGGTTTCAATTTATTGCATACCTATCATGTGTCAGATGCTTTACATTGGTTATCTCATTCAACCACTACAACCATCCTATTCCTAAAGTAGTATCTAACATTTATGGAGATCTTACTATGTACTATGCCATCTTTTAAGAACTAGATACATAACATGTAATATATAATCCACAACTCATCTATGTGGTAGTAGTAGCATTATCTCTATTTTAATATTTTAATATATAAGGAAAGTGAGATAGAGTTTATATAACATAACCAAGATTCTCATAAGTTGTAAGTAATAAAGCCAGGATGCAAATGTCAGCAGCCTAACTCCATAGTCTGAGCCCTTAGTCACTAATTATTATTATCCCCCTTCCTGGAATGACAAAACTGAGGTTTAGAGGGTTTAAATAATTTACCCCAGCACACAGTTAATTATTTTTTTCTTTTTTTTTGTTTTGTTTTTTATGTTCACTAAGTCAACATATAGTACATCATAAGCTTTTGATGTACTGTTCAGTGATCAAACCACAATGAGGTACCACCTCACACCAGTTAGAATGGCAAAAATTAACAAGGCAGGAAACAAGTGTTGGTGAGGATGTGGAGAAAACGGAAACCCTCTTACACTGTTGATGGGAATGCAAACTGGTGCAACCACTCTGAAAAACAGTATGGAGGTTCCTCAAGACATTAAAAATAGAGCTACACTATGACCCAGCAATTGTACTACTAGGTATTTACCCTAAAGATATAGATGTAGTAAAAATAAGGGGCATATGCACCCCAATGTTTATAGCAGCAATGTCCACAATAGCCAAACTGTGGAAGGAGCCGAGGTGCCCTTCAACAGATGAATGAATAAAGAAGAGGTGGTACATATATACAATGGAATATTACTCAGCCATCAGAGAGGATGAATACCCACCATTTGCATTGACATGGATAGAACTGGAGGGGATTATGCTAAGTGAAATAAGTCTAGCAGAGAAAGACAATTATCATATGGTTTCACTCATATGTGGAACATAAGGGATGGAGTGGAGGACCACAGGGGAAGGGAGGGAAAACTGAATGGGAAGAAATCAGAGAGGGAGACAAACCATGAGAGACTCTGGGCTCTGAGAAACAAACTGAGGGTTACAGAAGGGAGGGGGGGTAACTGGGTGATGGGAATTAAGGAGGGCACATGTTGGGATGAGCACTGGGTGTTATATGCAACTAATGAATCGTTGAACACTACAACAAAAACTTATGATGTACTATATGCTCGCTAACTGAACATAATAAAAAAAAACTTAAAATAATTCGATCTCTAAAGAAAGAAAGCCATGAAGTATAAATTACTTAATACATAAATAGATAAATTATAAGTCCCTTTGACATCTTCCCAACCACTCACGTCCACAAGCACTGAGTGCGTGTTGTAGGAAGAAGATATGGGGTAGAGATGGCAAAAAGAACTCAAGACTCCAAGGCTTTTGTAGTGCTAGTATTACCAGGACAGTGATAGTCCATGGACCAGTAACAAACTCATCCCTGAACTTCGGTTGCCTTATTAGAATAAAGATGGTCCTTTTGAGGCAGAGGCAAGGATTAAAGACCTGCCATGATTTGAAAGTTACGAAATCAGGGCAGAAAGGGTGAGGAGTAAGTGGAAGTGAGGCAAGGAGAGACATGAAGCAAAGCTGCAGGGAGAGAGGAGAGACAAACCCATACCTCAGAGCAACCCATGGAAGGGCGAGAACAGTTTTGTCTGGCTCCCCCTTCTTATTTCTTATTCGTCAAGGTTCATACCCCAGGTTATAACTACTCAGATTTCATGATGATACCATCTTCCCCTTAACAGTCACTCAGAAAACCCAAACTAAGGCCTGAAAGTGTGCCTTTGTATACAAGCTTTAAAGTAGTGTGGTAACTTGGCATGGATAGGTTCAGCTTATGGGCATGAGAGCTATCCATGCTGAGAGCTTCAACTCAGCCTCCAGCCAGTTTACAGAGCCCCAAAAAGGTGGTAGCAGTATGATCAAGGAGACAGGCAAAGCCTTTGAAAACAAAGAGGCAGTTGAGAAGATCTGAGGAGATGCAGAATGTTTGTGTCTAATAAAAATTACTCCACATGTATTCCATGAAAATTAATAAGAATGAATATATAAAACACTTAGCACACATTGGTCTAGATTGATGACAGAGACAGAAGGAACTTTGGAAACTGTATCTTGAGATATTTTTCATTATAGCAATGGAAAGCCCAATTCAAGTTGTCTTAAACACTGAGAGGAATTTCATAGTGGATTATATAACTAAAAAATATCCAGAGAGAAGACTTAAATTCTGGAATGGTTTTATCAGGACTTCAGCTACATTTCTGGGCAATTCTCTTGTTTTGACCTCCTCTGTGGATGCACTTCATCCTCAGGCAGCTTCCCTGCTGGTTGCCGAGTGACAGCAGCAACTCTGCTCTGTCTCATTCACCTGCCACAATGCCCAAAACAAGGTCTCAACAATAGCTCATTACAATGTTATCTCAGCACTGAATGTAGAGGGAATGATGTTTAATAAGCCAAAGTGCATCATGCATCCATCCCCAAACAAACTCAGGGAGTTCACTGATAAGTTTGTCAATGCAGGCCACACCCTAGAGCATGACTGTAACCTAACAGAGGAGGGGTGGAGTGGACGCTGGGAGGGCAGTCAGTGTCCACCACCAAGATCACCAGGTCTAACTCTTGTTTATAGATAAAGCAAATCTAAAAACCAAAGCTCATTGATTTTCCAAATTTACAGTTTGTTAATTCTAGGCTAAGAACTGAATCACAGTCTACTGAAACTGAGTATTAATCCCCTACATATTTCCAAAGAAGGACATGGACTGAGGAAGAAAAGTTGTGATGTCAGAAGCATGTAAATGGTAGGCAAGTATGTGTAATAAATATGGTGAGCTTACAAGAGTTAATGCAGGGAACCAATAGAAATGAAGACCTATAATCACACTGAGGGGTAAATAAAAGCCAAATATGTAACATATACACATGAGTTTAGAAGGGATCTTTGAAGTACTATATAAATAAAATTATGTACCCAAGAGGTGATCCCCATCCTCCTGATCTGAAGGTCAGACATGACTGAATCATAAGGTTGGAGACAGGATAGGGAACCAGAGTGCAGAGAAAAGCCATCCTTGGACCAAACAGGGCAAGCATTCCTGTGTTCTCCAATTATGGTACTGAAATCTGTAGCTTGGTATCAGGGATCCATTTAAATGAAAAGTATTTAAAGTACAGAGAAGGTCATGCAACATTAGCCCTAGCCCATGTAAAGAGAAAAAGGAACCAGAAAGAAAATGAGCAGTTGTTGGTCAGCATGTCAGGAGAGGAAGGTGGATGTGATACCTGAAATTCTTAGTAGACTAACTTAAAATGGAGAATAGTGAAAGGAAAAGAAAAAGAAAGAAAGAAAGAGAGAGAGGAAGGAAGGAAGAAGGAAGGAAGGAAGAAAGAAAGGAGGAAGGAAAAAAGAAAAAGAAAGAAACAAAAGAAAAAAGTCAAAAGTCTTTGGAATCAGTCATATACAGGATTGGAGTTTAGGTGAAATTGATAGGATAATTAGAAAAGTATTCACACACTCCAAAAATTAGTGTGATAAACAGTCCTGGCTCAGTTAGATACACAGATGGTGATGAGATGATGATTAGATGATAGATAGATAGATAGATAGATAGATAGATAGATAGATAGATAGATAGATAGATAGATAGATGATAGATGATAGATAGATAGATAGATAATAGATGAAGATAGATAATAGATGGTAGATATATAGATAGATAGATAGATAGATAGATAGATAGATAGATGATAGATGATAGACAGATGATGATGATGATAGATGATAGAAAGATAGATGATAGATAGATGATGATAGATGATAGATAGATAAACAGATAGATAGATGATAGTAGATAAGACAGACAGCTGGATAGATAGACTTACCTTTTCCATTTCAAATTGAGGAATGAGATGAGAAAGATAGAAGGTAACTCATACATAAAAAACCCAAGTCCAGAAGATATTAAGAAGTAAAAAGACCCCAAAATTGAAGAATTTATGACCCAATCAATAAGAAAAGGCTTGTAATTAAAACACCTGACTCAGGCTGGAACAATGACAGTGGAATGGAGAAAGTAAGATCTGTAAGCATGAGGCCAGAAAAGAGAGAACAGGACTCAGGGTAGGTTGTTAGGAAGATCACCCCAGTAAAAAGTTTGCTTGCAACTAGTTCAGTTGGCTGATGACAATACACAACTTGGCATATGGCAAGGATGAAAAGGATTGTTAGCAACCAGGAGTAGCAGGAATTAACTAGGCAACAAAAGGGTGAAAGAGGTGGAAACTGTCAAAATTAGTAACCACTGCTAATTCCTACATTGTTTCTCTGCATACAATGCACTTCCCACATTATCTCTGATCCCCATGAGAGTCTTAAAAAGTAAAATGTTTTGGTTTTGTGAATCTGTAAAAATAGGTGATTTAATCAACTGGATAGCAATTTGAATTTTAAGAAATCCCAATAATTCACAGGAAGGGACAAAACAAAAATGTATTTCACATTTCAGAGACAAATTTCTTGAATGTTCAATATTTTATATGAAAATGGATAGGCTTTAGTTTAAAATCGGTTTAATCTCTCATGGATTAATGAAAAATAGTATGTGGAAAACACATTTTTGGAATAACAAGCGTCTTCTGAGTGTGTTTGTGGATGAAAGTGTGTGCTCATGAGTGCATGCACCATATAGAAGGTGTATTCAGAGGCATGTATAAAAGCTCCAAGGCAAAATCCTCATGAACTCCACCAGTTTGTGCCCCTTTAAGCAAGTATGTGTGATTTTAAATAAAAAGCAGTAAACCAGAAGGAAAATGTATTGGGAAAAATCCCATCCTATCATTTATGAATATGCATTACAGCTTTTGTTCAAAATACAGAAATCATTATTTATTCCAAATATTACAATGACCTTTGGGCGGTCTCAGTAAACCTAAGCAAATCTGAATTCTATAGATCTTTTAAGTAACTAACGGGAACTAACTACAACCACCCATGCACACACACACACACACACAATTTACACAGAAGATACTTGGTCATTAGAAAAATTACTAATCATCTGACCAACTTTTGGCAAATTACTGCTCAGCTATATGGTTACACTTTGCCCAAATAGACTCCTGGTAGTTATTATCCCTCATTTCCACTTGTTTTCTGCATTAAGATAAAGCAGAGAGTATTTTAACAGAAATACCTGAGTTGGTAGAATCCAAAAAGATTCCTGGGTGAATTCCACTTCCTGACCAGCACTCATGTTTTCAATGTTATAAAAAGTCATGAGTTAGGAATAAGCAAAGAAGCAGTTAAAGAGACTAGAGTCATGCCAACACCCAGGAGTCAACGATCTCTTTTGGAACTCCAATCAAGCCTAGATCCTAGGAAAGACTGGAACTGAGATACATAATGTGGTTGCTGTGGATCAGCTCGGAGGTAAAGGTGTCAATGGAGCTCTATATCAGCTTATTTTGTAGACATAATGTTCTTGATCCATGGAATGTAGCTGTGTAGGTCAGTGAAGACAACAGTGTATCCTGTTAGAATACATCCAGTTTCCCAAGACAAAATTCCTCGTAATTCACCGCCACATATGGCTGGTGCAGCTGTGACCACCTGCCAGATAGAGTAGAGGGATCAGAAATTCCTTCCCACCTGAGATTTCCTCAACACCTGAACAAAAATGAAAGCTACTACATTTGCCATGCAAAGGGGTCCAAGATATAAGAATACAGTATGAAAGCTTCTTTCCATTGCACTAATGACCCCTACACCTCCCAGTCATCCCTACACAGATATTTCCAAGCAGTAGCTGGAAGATAGCTTTCCATCCCAAAATCTATTTCTTTCATCTCTATCACAGGGTGGAGAAGAAAGAGTCATCACTCTTCAGCCACCTTACTCTCTGAACTCATAGCCTGACTGAAAAATCCAGTCCCTCGAAGAACGATGAGAGACCCAAAGAGTAGAGACTGAGCTTAGAGGCAAATGAGGTAAGAAGACTTACCTTGCAGGGCTCTTGGCTTCCTAGCATGGGTCCTATACAGAACATGTCTTCAAGGAGTTTTTCACCCAGTAATTTTTTGCAGTTTATATTAGAGCTCAATTGAATCTTGACTCTTTGCAGCTTATGGTTTGAATTTCCTAAGCACAAGAAATAAGGAGACTTTGATTCCTGTTTGCCTTTCCATAAGGCACCCTGCCTCCTCCTCCTTCAGGGCTTCCTCTCAGTAAGAATGAACGACCATGGATCAAACACATCCTCCTGCTCAATTTATCATCTCTGACAGATGATCAGGATCAAGGGGTGGTTGCTGAAAAGACACTCCACATATCAAACAAGATCTGAATCCAAGCTCTGCCATTGCCAAGTTCATGATCTTGAATAACTAATTTCCCTGAGTCTTAGTTTCCTGTCTTATAAGATATAAATTCCAAGGAAACTTATCTACATGATATGTGATGATGACTATATAATATGTATAGGATGCTTCATGCCTGGTACATAAGTAGTGATCGACAAATGGTAGTTACTATCGTTCTTGTAATTGATAACAATATCACTCCTATTAAGTAAAGGGAAAATATGATTCTTATCAATTTGCAAATTAAGATTCAAGAAGTGAAAGAATTTGTTCATAAACCTATAATGAATGTTAGAATCAATACTCAAACATAGACCTCAGATTCTACCCCCTGTGGTGTGTGCCAATGTGATACATTCACGCAACACCTTGATTTAGGATTTGATTCCCAAAGCCCTAATTAAGATCACTTCTACTCTAGAAAGCCAATACTGTTGTTCCATTTCTAGCTTTACACATGTGCTTAGAAATCTGGCACTAGCCCTATAAGTTCCAATTCCTTCCCCTAATTCCTTAGAGATCCTAAAGATGTGAATATATCCAAGAACTAACTCTTCTTTTTGATAGTCACTCACCAATAAAGTCTTTGTTGTCTAACCAAGTGTGAATCAAGCAATCTTTAACTGCATTCTTGAGAGTAGGCAACTGAAAAATTTTGGTGGAGAAGGTAAAAGGTAGAGGCAGCTTTATCAGCATGAGGTCATCTTTAGGAGAGGTAACAGTGAAGTTTGGGTGAATAATGATCCTCTCATAAGGTACAATCTCCCCAGTAAAGCCTCGAAGATTTGTGGAACTGCCATAAAAGATGATCTGAAGATCTCTGAAAAATGAAAAAGAGAAAAAAGATTAATACTCCCAGATCCCAAGGCTAAACACACACACACACACACAATTTCCTTCTATGGTAACCCATTTAGCCTTTTCCTCTCATTTTTATGCACTTAATCCTTTATGTGTAGCTGCCACATGTGGTCATGTGAATGGTGCCTTCAGGAATTAAGCAATGCAATGGCTTAGACTCTACTCTTAGAATAATTCTAGAGAGAAGCTCCAATTCAAGACCTAGAAACAGTAGAAAGAAGGGTGTAAATGGATAGTCAAGGCTTTTATGAGACTAGTAGGTTTTGTTAGGGAGGCTCCTTTGGGAGTTGAGGGGAATAGGAAATGTGAAATTGTACAGAGGAAGTGAGTAACAGCTTTGAGAGTTTAAATATTCTAAAGCTAAGGAGAATCATCTGAATATACTATGCTCTACTCATGTCTATCAAAACTGCTGGATTAACAGGGCTTTCTGGTGGTCCTTTGGGAAAACAATAGTCAAAAATCCTAGATGTTCCATTGAGATCCAGTTGAGATCCACTCACTAACATGGCTCAAGACTCTAAATTCAGAACAGGGCACTCCAGTGAGGCCCCTGAGTCTCCCACTCAGGTATTTCTCCAACCACAAGAGTGAGATAAGTACCACATTGGTACTGAGCACCGATTGTTTTGTTGAGCTCCCAAATGCTAAGATTATATTGTCTCCTAACAACGGTACCATATGCCTCTCAGTCTGTCTTTGTCACCTTGTAGAGAGTTATAAAGTCTAAAGAGATAAAACAGGGTGGCCGCCTTGGGTGGGTCAGTCAGTTAAGCATCTGACTCTTGATTTTGGCTGAGGTCATGATCTCAGGGTTGTGGGATCAAGCCCCGTGTGGGACTCAGTGCAGTCTGCTTGTCCTTTCCCCTTCCCCACCCCCACTCGCACTCATGCTCTCCTTCTCCAAAATAAATAAATACTTAAAAAATTAAAATAAAGGGGCGCCTGGGTGGCTCAGATGGTTAAGCGTCTGCCTTCGGCTCAGGTCATGATCCCGGGGTCCTGGGATCGAGCCCCGCATCGGGCTCCCTGCTCGGCGGGAAGCCTGCTTCTCCCTCTGCCTCTCTCTCTCTCTCTCTGACTCTCATGAATAAATAAATAAAACATTTTTTAAAAATTAAAATAAAAATAAAGAGATAGGACAGGAATGCAGATTGTGCATTGTACAAGCCAATGGGCTGCCATTCACATAGACTATAATGTGAATGGTGCCTTCAGGAATTATCTGGGGTGGTGAAGGGGAAGGGACAAGCAGACTCTGCACTGAGTCCCACACGGGGCTTGATCCCACAACCCTAAGATCATGACCTCAGCCAAAATCAAGAGTCATTTGCTTAACTGACTGACCCACCCAAGGCGGCCACCCTGTCTGATAATTCCTGATAAATTCATCCTTGAGCCAAGCCCAAGGACTGACAAGTTTAAAAGTTCTCATTAGAGCAACATCCTTTAGACAAATTTTGCTTTGGGTCACTTTTACAAGACATTAGACTTTATAAGGACTTTCCTTAGTTTTGCTGTGTTCCTGAGAACTGTCATACTTTGTTACATCTGCTTGCAGTGAAGGATTTTGCTGGGCCCCCAGGTGGGAATGACTGGTCTTTGGCCAAGTTGTTTTTACTGACTGTTGCACTTCTCATTAGATCATCTCAGTCTATTTGGTTCTCTATACCAAACACATGCTCCCTTTGTGTTTAAATTCATATGATATCTCTCCAATTGGCATAATTCCTCCAGAACAATATGAAATTTCAGTGGCCACAGGGAGGAACTTTTGACAAGAGCAAAATTGTTCATTTGACAGATACATTAGAACAGAAAGGGAAGAAACCTTCATGTTAAGATTCTTTCTCTCTTGTCTTTCTAAATTAGAGATCACTTAATGACCCCTATCACTCCATTTCCATACCTTGGGAATTAATGAGAACTGGTGTTTTAATTATACAACTTGATGGAATTGTTAGGCCCCAACTTATTGTTTAAATCAGTTGTAGTAACTCTCTTGTGCATCTGTGTTTGTCAAATTGGCTTTTTCTGTTGCTAAGATTATTCTCCTTTCTTGCTAAAGGGAAGTCATTGGTGCTTACAGTGTTAATTTAATATCTAAAACTGTGCCCTCTAATATTTTCTTTTATCCTTCCTCTATTTCTCTTTTTTCCTTCCCTTAAGAAATTTTGTGATTCAACTTATCATAAAATATGTTTATAAGTAAATACAGAGGTTTATATTGAAAAAAGAGTTCATGATAAATAGATGATTCAGGCAAATTAGAGTGAGTGAACTTCAGCTTAAGGCAACTCTACAGCATGCAAAACTAAACTGTGGTGGAAAAACAAGAGAATAGTGGTTCCCTCTGAGGGATATGGATGGACTATAACTAAGAAGGCCTACGAGAACCTAACCTTACACCTAAAAGAGCTAGAAAAGGAACAGCAAATAAAGCCTAAAGCCAGCAGAAGAAGGGAAATAATAAAGACTAGAGCAGGAAATAAACAACATAGAAACAAGACAGTAGAACAGATCAACAAAACTAGGAGCTGGTTTCAAAGAATTAATAAAATTGATAAACCCCTACCAAACTTATCAAAAAGAAAAGAGAAAGGACCCACATAAATAAAATCATGAATGAGAGGAGAGATCACAACCAACACCACAGAAATACAAGCAATTCTAAGAGAATACTATGAAAAAGTATATGCCAACAAACTGGGCAATCTGGAAGAAATGGGTAAGTTCCTAGAAACATACAAACTACCAAAACTGAAACAGGAAGAAATAGAAAATTTGAACAGACTTATAACCAGCAAAGAAATTGAATCAGTAACCAAAACAGATGGCTTCCCAGGGGAATTCTACCAGACATTTAAAGAAGAGTTAATACCAGGGCGCCTGGGTGGCTCTGTCAGTTAAGCAACTGACTCTTGATTTTGGCTCAGGTTATGATCACAGGGTCTTGAGACTGAGCCCTACATCAGGCTCTGTGTTCAATGCAGAGTCTGCTTGAGAGTCTCTCTCTCCTTCTGCCCCCCCCCTCCACTCACATGCTCTTTCTTTCTAAAATAAATAAAAATAGGGCACCTGGGTGGCTCAGTTGGTTAAGCGACTGCCTTCAGCTCAGGTCATGATCCTGGAGTCCCTGGATCGAGTCCCGCATCGGGCTCCCTACTCGGCAGGGAGTCTGCTTCTCCCTCTGACCCTCTTCCCTCTCGTGCTCTCTGTCTCTCATTCTCTCTCTCAAATAAATAAATAAAAATCTTTAAAATAAAATAAAATAAATAAAAATAAAGATAATAAAGAAGAATATCTATTTTCTAAACTGTTCTAAAAAATAGAAATGGAAGGAAAACTTCCAAACTCATTCTACAAAGCCAGCATTACCTTGATTCCAAAACAAGACAAAGACCCCACTAAAAAGGAGAATTACAGGCCAATATCCCTGATGAACATGGATGCAAAAATTCTCAACAAGATACTAGCAAATCCAATCCAACAGTACATTAAAAGAATTACTCACCACAATCAAGTAGGATTTATTCCTGGGCTGCAAGGGTGGTTTAAGATTCCCAAATCAATCAATGTGATACACAATATTAATAAAAGAATGGATAAGAACATTTTGATCCTCTCAAGAGATGCAGAAAAAGCATTTGACAAAATACAGATCCATTCTTGATAAAAACCCTCAAGAAAGTAGGTATAGAAGGAACATTCTTCAACATCATAAAGGCCATATGTGAAAGAACCACAGCTAATACCATGCTCAATGGGGAAAAAACTGAGAGCTTTTCCTCTACAGTCAGAAACAAGACAGGAATGTCCACTCTCATCACTGTTATTTAACATAGTACTGGAAGTCCCAACCACAGCAATCAGACAATAAAAAGAAATAAAAGGCATCCAAATTGGCAAGGAAGAAGTCAAACTTTCACTATTTGCAGATGACATGATGCTCTATATAGAAAACCTGAAAGACTCCACCAGAAAATTACTAGAACTGATACACGAATTCAGCAAAGTCACAGGCTATAAAATCACCATACAGAAATCTGTTGCATTTCTATACACCAATAATGAAGCAGCAGAAAGAGAAATCAAGGAATCAATCCCATTTACAATTGCACCAAAAACCATAGGATACCTAAGAATAAATTTAACCAAAGAGGTAAAAGATCTGTATCTGAAAACTTGAGAATGCTTATGAAAGAAATTGAAGAGGAAACAAAAAAATGGAAAGACATTCCATGCTCAAGGATTGGAAGAACAAATATTGGTAAAATATCTATATTACCCAAAGCAATCTACACATCTAATGTAATCCCTATCAAAATATCACCAGCATTTTTCACAGAGCTAAAACAAACAATCCTAAAATTTATATAGAACCACAAAAGACCCTGAATAGCCAAAGCAGTCCTGAAAAAGGAAAGAAAAGCTGGAGGTATCACAATTCTGGACTTCAGGCTGTATTACAAAGCTGTAGTCATCAAGACAGTATAGTAATGGCACAAAAACAGACACATAAATCAATGGAACAGAATAGAGAGCCCAGAAATGGACCCACAACTATAAGGTCAACTAACCTTTGACAAAACAGGAAATATCCAATGGAAAAAAGACAGTCTCTTCAATAAATGGTATTAGGAAAACTGGACAGCCACATGCAGAAGAATGAAACTGGACCCCTTTCTTACACCATGCACAAGAATAAATTCAAAACAGATGAAAGACCTAAATGTGAGTCAGGAAACCACCAAAATCCTAGAGGAGAACACAGGCAACAATATCTTTGAGCTCGGCCACAGCAACTTCTTGCTAGACACACCACCAGAGGCAAAGAAAACAAAAGCAAAAATGAACTATTGCGACTTCATCAAGATAAAAAGCATCAGCACAGCAAAGGAAACAATCAATAAAACTAAAAGGCAACCTACAGAATGGGAGAAGATATTTGCAAATGAC